GCAAAGTAAATATTTTATAGACATTTTTATAACTAATGCAATGTACCAGCAATAATCCATACACAGTCAAAAACATTATTCTGCCCCTGTGTCAAGAGCAGAGGAAGTGATTAATTTGCCAATATCCTGAAGTGGCTTGCCTTTTAAGCCACTTCACAATCTTGGCAAATTCGAACCAAAAGGCTTGCTTTGGATTGGTTCCAGCGAGCACATGCATTGGAACTGATCCAAACCAGAGCACTCCTGCCAAAAAAGCAGGAGCCCCTGATATGGGCTCCCAAAAATACACATAGGTCCATTGTGGGAGTGGGCTTCCCCGCTCCAACCAAGATATCTAATCACAACCTTTAAGAGTGAACCAGACCATTCCTGCAGTGGACCAAATGGTGGGTTAACACCCATGTAATCAGGCTCACTCTCTCCGAGTAGTCTGACATCGATCAAATGGCCAAATGGAAAAGAAGACCGAATTCCTGCCAGTGTATACAAAGTAATTTCAGCCACTGTTATGTGTCCTTTGGCTGAAAGTTTAGATTTAGAATAACTTGGCTCAAACCTAACCCTATCCAGAAGGGCATTTCTGCTAGCAGGTTTGTGCCTAATCCTGACCCCATGCAGCCAGTGTTGCATTAGGGCTGAGCTCTTACATAGCCTTAACCCCAGTGATTTCCACAAATAAGTGTACTGCGCACAGCTTCGGTGCCTGCAAAATTATTTGCTACCGGTCCAAATAAATGGACTTAAGCTACAAATCTAAACCCTGGCTCCCAAAGTTTTTCCTCCCACAACATTCCTTTTATAAAATAACAATATTCCGTTTATAAAGAATGTGGAAAAAAACAGCTATATTAAATTACAATATTTATTTAATACTCAGCTGAAGAGAAAGTGCAAAGTCACAACAACTTTAAACCATCACAGAAACACACACCATATTATAACTAAACAGGACAAAACAGCCTACGAAGTTCTACCCAACGCTAAACCACCCAGTTTCAACATGTCTACAGCCTTTGCAAACACCTACTTGAGCAATCTTTAGCCTACAGTTTGGGTGGGAAACCTATGGCTCTCCAGATTTTTTAGACCTAGAATCCCCAGTTATTGTAATGGGGAAGGATTATGGGAGTTGTAGTTCAAAACAGCTGGAGGACCCAAGGTTTCCCATCCTTAGCCTACAGAGCAGCAGCTCTTACACTGGAATTCGAAGGAATTCCATCTCCATTTCACTTACATGGATATTGAATACTTTAAGCCTATGACCTCAATCCAGCTACATGAAGCCAACGGAACAGCTTCGTTGCAAAGAACTGAGCTCCATTGTTTTCAGAAAAACTTAGTTCTGACTAATCTCCACTGGATCAAGGACTGGGCTATTCTCGTTAGTGCATTTTAAAAACAGTGCCTTAGCAAAAAGCTTAACTGCGAATGGAATTTTTCTTCCAAAATGTTCTTAGGATTGCAGCATTAAGAAGAGGGGGGGAAAGTGCCCCAAATTTTGAGGTGAACTACCCCCAAGCATATATTCTACTGAATGAAATACTTTTGCTTCAAAACCCCACACTATTCAGTTAGAGAGAAAAAAAAGTTTGAATAAGCCCTGTTTAAGGCAATTATAATGAATCTTTCTAGGGCCAGTCTATTAAAACACCATGTTTAAATTGAACAAGTTAGCATGTATGCATTTGCTTCCTAGTCATTCTCGTATTTTATATTTTTTTAATCCAGAGAAAATATAGCCAGTTTAATAGGTGTGGGGTGTGTGCCTTAGAAGGTGAAAAACTTAAATACATGACGTGTTAGACCTGAGTCAGTTGCATTATCTCTATGTATGGCAACAACAAAAGGATCAAGTAAACATCAGTCTGTTATTGGTGTCAAAAACGTATGATGAATTATGCATAAATGTTATGTCTGCATTCTAAGCGTGTGTTCAACGCTGAACATCCAGTTGCTTAAATATGTCTTCCTATTGTGGGAGGAGCCAATAGCAGCAAAGTGACCGAGGAAGTGTTTCGCATTCAGTGCCACCCAGGGTTCAACCCCGGTGATGCAGTGGTGAGAACATCCGTCTGATCCTCACTAGCCACTGCACAGGGGCTACCAGATACAATGGAAGCACCCACTAACTCAGGTTGCAATACCACTCCCATTATTTACCAAGGGATCACATGACCTTGTCCAACACATATGGGAGGCACCAGACAAAGGAAACCTGTCTTAAATAGCCACTGGGCATTAGAGAACAGTCAGTATTGGGCTAGAAAGACTACTTCTTACATAAGGTGGCTACTTAACCCATTACCCCGGAAAGGGAAGGTGAAACTCTCGAAAAGGGATATCAGTTCCGCTAATTGTTCTAATTTATATGGACTAGATGCAAATTTAGAAATAGAGGCCAAAATCCTGTTGCTTAGCACAGTAAATCACACTACAGTAGGCCCATGGACTCAATGGGGATTTAGTGAATCAATTCTCCTGTAAGTTCCATTGATTCAAATAGGTTCACTCTGTGACTTGCTATGCTAAAATAAGTTGCAATCGAGTGGGCTCATTGGAATCAATAGAACTTACGGAGTCGACTCACTAAATCTCCATTGATTCAATGGGCCTACTCCAATGTAATTTACTACACTAAGCAATAGGATTTTGGCCAATAATTCAAATGTTGTACATTCCACTATAGCGAGAAGATGGTAAGCAGGGAAACTGATGAGGCTGCTCAGTCTGCTGCACAAATGATTGCTAAGTGCTGATGGGCAAGGTCTCAGGTCTCACTTCTTACAGTTTATGTTTAAGCTAGACTTGAATCAGCTGGCTAGTTAGGTCAGTCGTTTAGACATCTAGTTGGGAGTTCGATTCCCCACTCTCCCTCTGGTGAACAGAGCCAGCCTGTGCAGCCTTGGGCAAGCTGCACAGTCCTATGGTGCCCCTAGAGGAAAGGAATGGTAACACACTTCTGAGTACTCTCTACCTAGAAAACCCTGAAAAGGATTGCCGTAAGTCAGAATTGACTTAATGGCACATAATAATTATTCCTAGACTTGGACTGGAGAGGCTTTCAAACACAGAATGCGAGAGGGTGCATTCTAACCATCTTCTGTCAGCACGAACAGAAGGCCACCCTAGTAATATAAGCCAGATTTATGTATTTGCAAGTCTGTATTCGTCTTTTGTGCCATTAAGCAAACTTATAGCTTCACTGACTTAGATGGTTCCAAAAGAAAATTAGACACATCCAAGGATATTTAACTCTGAATAACTATCAAATCCAAAAGGGCTTTTACCTCCTGCTCATGAAATTCCTATCGACAACTGGTTGGCCATTGAGGGACAGACAGTGTTAGAATTGACTGTGCGCTGATGTACCCGCTTGTGGCACGGTGGTTAAATTGCAGTACTGTAGTCAAGCCTCTGCTCATGATCTGAGTTCAATCCCAAGCTCAGGGGGCTGGCTCATGGTCAGCTCAGCCTTCCATCCTTCCGATTTTGGTAAGCTGAGTACCCAGGTCTATGGTGGGAGAGGGGGCAATGTGTTGCCTGCATAATTAAAAACTGTAAAACACCCAGAGAGCATTTTAAGTATTGTGGGGCAGTATATAAGCAGCACACGGCTTGGCTTTTGATGTCATAGACCTCTTTTCCAATCCCACTCAGAACTGTAATCTTGTGGGTTTTTTTCCACTCTAAGCAATTGTAATCAGATTGCCCTGAGAATATTTTCTACATGTGAATGGGATCAGAAATGCATATAGGAACACATTCACATCTGAGGTTCAGGTATTCATGTTCATTTGCCAGCGCTGAATACCATTGCTCATCTGGATTTTTGTTTCTGAAGGGTGGTATAATTTATTTGCACCCTTCTCTCCTGGATTAGGGCAACTGGATAAGAGAGACTTAGCACAGGTTAATGGTGAATACACTACACTTTGCTATATCATAGCCTCATCTACATTAAACTGATGGCAGTGCTGGGTACAGGGCATGCTGGTGTCTATTTTAAATAAGGTGGTTCCTTTTTTTATTATACATCTTCCTCTATGCCTGTAATAGCAGACTGAGGCATCAGTTTTAGTTGGTTAAGCTTTCCTCCTATACTCTGAATCTATTTCTGTGGAAATGCATAAAGCGAATAGCATTAAGCCTAAGAAAAGCTGGCATTATCAGCAAAACACTGCCACTATATTTTCCATTTTCAGTACTGTAGGGCCATAACTAAGGTGGGACAATTAGGGCTTTGCCCAATGTGCCAAAATTAAGACAGCAGGTTGGTATTTACTACCGGGAGGCCATGAACACATCCACCCTAACTGTATGTAGCAGATCAAGCCATTCCTCTGAAGGCAGAAGGAAACATAAAACACAGAGACTCAACACAGAACCGATACCAGTGTCATGTGCTCAGACTGAAAAGTTCCTTCTCTTTCCTTGGTCTTCTCTCTGTTTATGGCAACCTCACATGATCCAAACTTAAACAACAGTGCAAAATTGCTACTTATCGCTCCCGAAGTGTGAGTGTGTGTGCGTGTGTGCATGTGTGTGTGTGTATTTAACTTATATTAACTCACAAAGTTCTCACTCCCCTCTCTCGCACTGATTTGGTCTGGTACAGGGCGTGGAGCTCGGTACCGGATGCCAACGGCCCTGGGTTTAATCCCTGTATTCTCCAAGTACAGCCGAGAAAGACTCATTTAAAACCCTGGAGAATACTTGCCCATCAGTATGAACAACACCATGTGAGACTGAACAACACCGGCCATGTTCTGCCTCAGGATAAAGCATCTTCTTATGTGCCTGTTTGGTCACTTCCCTGTGCAAGATACATTAGATAAAAGAGCGAATTGATTGCTTTTGAGTTACTTGGCGACACTGTTTGCTTATACTGCTACTTATATTTTAGAACAGACATTGCGTAACTCCTCATGGTTGCTGATACTTCAAAGCTTACATGGGATTGATAATTTTTGAGAATACTCAAATACTCTCTCTCAAACTGAGAAAGGGAAATAACTTTTTTAAAGGGGAGGGGAAGGGACCGTCTTTTACATTCCACAGCATAAACCAAAAGAGAAATCGTGTCATAATTTGGTAAGTGAATACACACACATCTAACAAATCCTGCTAAAAAATACTGCTGAAATCAGAAAACCTATGTTGAAAAACATCAGTTCCCCGTTCATGGATAAGTTATGGAGGAGTCCCTTTTTTTCAGAGTCGGGAAACGACAATTGAATTCTTAGATTAAGCATGCTGAAACTCTTAGTTTTCAGAACCAAGGTCCATCATCATCTTCTTCACCCTCGTCCTCATTTAGGTAGAGAAGGGCAATTTTCTTCTCATCAGAAATCACTGATCTTTGGTCTACCATTCTTTGGAGTTGAACACTTTGATGAAAGGTCAACTCCTCCGATGCTTGGTCATTTTCATTTTCTTTCTGGCCATCTTTTGTGCTCCTGTCTGATGAATCAGCCTCTGCTTCCTTTTTGCCTGGTATGAAAACTGTAGCCTCTTGTCCTCCCCCGGCCACATTGGTCACATCCATCTGAAAAGTAAAAGACGTTTCTTTGGCTCCTATCTTTATATGCCCAACAGGCTTGCTACTTTCTGAGGGCCCATCTGTTGGAGAAGGTTCTGCAGTGCTCACTCGTACTGTTTCAGAAACGGGGCCGTGGAAGACAATCTGCTTGGCAGGTTTTTCACTGGAGCTCAGTCGGATGTGCTGTGTTGTTCTACTCATTTCTATGGGGCTTCCTTCCTCCAGTACCTCTTCTCCGGGAGAACGGATACCAGAAGATTCTGGAGCAGAACCATGGTAGACAACATGTTCACCACTCTGAACTTCTGCCTGCCCTAACTTAATGTGCCTTACTGACCCTGTAGGAGAATCCTGTCTTGGTCCACCGAACTCCAGGTGCCGTTCCAAGGCAGGCCCTGTAAAAACAATCTGCTCTGTCACAAATTCCTTTGGACTTAACTTGATATGTCTGATGGTGGTACTGGTATCTAGCACTCCATCCTTGATACTGGGTTCATTTGTTTCTGTGGGAGACTCTTTAGACATAGTTTGCTCGGACATTCTGGTTTCTTGCTGTCCTATCCTAATATGTCTTACGGACTCTTCGGCCACAACACGATCTCCACTGGTGCTCAGCTCCACAACACCAGGAAAGCGACCTTCGTATACAATGTGTTCACTATGTACTTCTTTGGGATCTATTCGGATGTGCCTTACTGACCTGCTGGTTTCTGCCGGCCCTTTCACCTGAAAAACAGCCTCACTGCTATTTCTAGAAGGCAGATCTGAAGCTGACCCCTCAAAAACAACTTCTTCAACTATTTGTGTTGAACCCCGTGAGATGCGTTCAGAGGACTTAATATCTGTTGAAAACTGTGTCTGCGTTGGGCTTTCAGAACTACTCACTTCGACCGTTTTATGAACAGGGCCCCTGAAAATTATTGTTTCTGTCGTCTGAATTTCTTCAGGGCCATGTCTGAATTCCTTAAAGCTTTGGCTGACATCTGCTGATGTTCCTGTGGCAAAGTCTTCCCCACCAAACTGAGACCCTCCAGCAACAGGACCTTCATAAAAGACATGCTCCGTTCTGTGAACTTCTGTTGGGGAGATTACAATTTGCTTTATTCGTCGGTTGATATCGAAGGACATTTGTGGAAGCTGTTCATCTCCTCCACTACTGGCTTCTGCGCTTTTGAAAACTGGGCCTTGATAAATATGTTGTTCACCGGAAAGATGCTCTGTGCCATCAGGCCCACTTAGTTTGGCTGAACTAGAAAACTCTTCTACGGTCCAAGGTGTGGATGAAACATCTACTCGAACTTTATTTCTACCATCATCGTGGCCTTCTGGCTCTTGTTTCCTGTATTCCTCCAAACCATCATTACCAAATGATTCTGTTGGGAATTTTGTTGCATCAGCCACACCCTCGCCAAGAAATTCCATGTCGAACTGATCAGAGTCTAGCGTCTGGGACAGGTTGACTTCCGCCACTAAGGTAACCAATCCCCTTTCTTTGGTGCGCTCTACTTTTCTAATATCTACTTCCACATTACTGGAATCAGCCTCGCTTTCTTTTGTTAATACAGAGAGTTCCTGTTTTACACTTTCTGGAAGCGTGTCTTCAAGCTTTTCCAGGGCTTCTTTCAACTGATGTTTAGGGTCCTTCGACTCCCGAGATAAGAGACCTTTTATTGAATCTTGAAATTCATGCGGGATTTTAATCTCTTTCTCAATAACAATTGTTTCTGCTCGTGCCACCTGTTCCTTTGGAGCCTCCTCTTTGGAAATATAGGCCCCTGACTCTCCCCCCATCACCTGGTAAACCAGTTCTGGTGAGCCCAGGCTTTCATTTATTCTTGTTTGAGACCCCTGCAAAAATTCATCTTGCCAGGAGTACTTAACTGTTGATTCTTCCTCTATATGGATCTGACCATATACAGAGTTTTTATCTTGTTCATGACCTAAGGGGTGCTCATCTGGAGTAGATACATAGTACTTTCCTTCATCAACTTCGTCATCCCCCTCAGCTAATTCTTCTACATGGGACACAACAACACTGGGTTGCTTCTCTTTAAGACCCTTAGCTGTGCTTGTGGTAGCTTCTCCTTCATCACAATAGTCTGGATGTTGTGCCACACCAGACAATGTGTCTTCTGCTTCCTCTACTTCAAAAGGCGTTGGAAATTCCACCTTTTCGTCAGCTGTAGGTCCCAATGGCTCCTCAACAATCTCAACTTGAACAGTCCTTCTTAATTTGCCTTCCACCTTAGCATCAACAGCATCTCCTGTGACATCTTTTTGTCGAGTTCCTTTATGATCTTCAAGCACCTTTTTAGCATCTCTCTTTAAGAAACCTACCAAGTCAAAATAATCAGAAGCATTTGGATCATCTTGAACAGTATCCTGTACGTTGGTCTTTGTGTTCACCTTCTCACCCTCAGAAACATCCTTCTTTTCAAAGGTAGCAGAGGGCAGCCGTGGGTCAGAAGATTTCGGCACAAAATCTTTAAGAATGTCAGAAACGATATTTTCTGCTATGCTTTCCGTAACGAAAGTCCCCATTTTGGAGCTTGCTTCCTCACCTACTTCATCTTGATTAGATTCTCCAGTGGGTTTAAATGCAGATTCACGCTTCTGATTTCCTACAGTAGACTTCACATCTTCTAATGTTATTTCTATGTTCTTGCTCTTCATTGTGCTCTCACGATTATGGATGTCTGAGCGGATCTCAGAAGTTTCTTTGCTCTGTGTTGTTACACTCACATTTTTATTTTGAAATGAATGACTTTCCTCCACCTTTGTATCTGCTGGAAGACTTTTTTCTGATACATCCATTCTAATACGTTCTTCCCATCTGATGTAGTTTCCACCTTGGGGTGTTTTATGCTCTATGAACTTGTCATCTTTTCTCTTTTCTACAATGCTAGGTTCTTGCACGGTGTGCTTGTTCTCTTGAAGGCCTTGCTTAATTTCACTTCTCTGTTCAACATTAGCATTTCTTCCTACTGGAGCTGATTTTTCACTAACCTTCTCAGTGTCAGAAGGTCTTCTTTCGTCGGCCAACCCTTCCTGTGTCCTCCTTCGTTCTAGCAACACAGATGTTTCCTTCTTCACTACTTCTTCATCACTCATCTTTTCATTTGCTGTATGAGTTCTTCCTATGGGCCTCTCGTCTTTAGTTTGGTCTGACGTAGAGCGTAGGTTGTAAGACGAAAAGGCAGACAGATCTCCATTTCTCACATTTTCAGAAATCCGTGGACTTGTTTCTTTCTGGACAGTTGCTGATTCTTTCGTAAATGAAACAGTAGTTCCAGCTTCTCTTTTGCTTCTTTCAGGTACTGTCCCCCACTGAGCTTCGCTCTTTTGGCTAACAACATAAGGGGAAACAAAGGGTCGGGTCCCCTTCTGTTCTGTAAAAGTTCTCACGTGACTTGCATCCTTTTTGATGGCCGATGAAGGATGATATCTCGTCTGGAAGGTGTCCCTGCTCAGTGTCTTCCTTGGAGCAGCTGTCTGCATTCTGCCAGTTTTTGTTTGAGACAAATAAACTTCAGAACTGCTCATTTTTGTTGGAGGGGATTTGTATTGTGTGTCCACATACTGGATTGCAGGAAAAGTCCTCTTTCCTTTCTCCTGTTGATAAGCTGAGTGACGGCAGCTGTATTCATAAAGCATATTCCGGACACCTGCAATTAGATGAAACAAAAGAAAATTATGGCCCTTGGCCTGTTCAAATACAACACCACATCATAGACTTTAATCTAATTGCATTGTTAACATTTCTTTGAACAAAATGGATCCTGCTTTATGGTCAAAGTCATTAGCTGCAATCCAGCAATATATCACAACTAAGATAGGCATTGAAAACTATGAGCTTCTGGTGAGTCAACTCCTCTGTAAGCTCCATAGTTTCAATGGGCTAACTCTAGCTGCAACTTACGAATGGATTTCGGCCACTCATTTCCACATTTCTTCTCAAAACAAAGAGGACAAATATGGACAACTATGTAAGCTTAGGAGGTTCTGTTTTTCTATACTTTGTCGCAAGCCTCCTGATTTGTTGGCCACCAAATGAAATGCACTTTGCAAAGCTCCTGCAGAGGACGTTTCCAGAGCAATATACAAACAGTATTTGTATACCTACAGAGTAGAGCCATTTCATCTCAAATACTGAGTACATCACTATCACCAACAATTTGCAAGGAAGTCTCTGGTATGAGGTGCTTCTGCTTGCTGTTAATCCCAAACACAAACTTCCTAATCTTTTCAGCAGTCCTCTGCAGCTATAAAATCCAAGTTTAGGGCCGTGCATAGGCCACACAAGACAATCAAAATTTTGCACCAATGTAAACCCCATTCTGTTGCAAAAGAAGCTGAGTTACAGAAATTTGATGGGTTTTAATTTCACACGACTTATTCCGTACTTCTAATGTTCTAGTTTATTTTAAACTATTTATTATGAAATTATGAATCAGAATAATTCAGTGGACTTCATCCTTTTTCCGGGGTTCTCAGCTAGCACGCCCCTGCCCACAACCTTCGTTCTCTTAAGCTTTCTGAAGCCCTCTTGCTCTTCCCAAAACAACCCTGGCCTTTCCCCCCTCATATTGCTCTTTGTGCCCTGAAGTGGTCTGAGAAACAATCCTCTCCCTTTTCTTCTTCCAACTATTCCACAAACTCCAATCTTAAGTCTTTCATACTCTTTCTTGCTGAAACTAAAAGCCAAACTAAGAGCCACAACTAACATCAGAGATCTGTTAATGCTCTAGAGACTTAATTCGTTGTCATCATCTTAGAACTGTGGAGCTGGAAGGGACCCTATGGATCGCTGAGTCTAGCCCCTATTAAGGAGACACTGTGGGGAATCAAACTCCCAACCTCTGGCTCTGCAGACAGAGACCTAAACCACCGAGCTTTCAGAAGATCTTTAGGACTGAGCTGTCATACACGCAAAGGAAACACATGTTTGTCTCCTGATAAACCATCAGAAAACAAAGCAAAGACAACTACAAACTACAGGGGTGTGTCTGTGAAAGGCTCCTTCTCTACAGCCCCTCACTGACCTCATGGGCACCAACCCACGTTCTAAGGTTCTGAAACAGGGAAACATATTTCCCCATCCACTTTCTCCACATTGCGCATAAGACTGTAAAATACAAGAGTGGACAACTCGTGGCACTCTGAATAATGCTGAACTACAACTCCCATCAACCATAGCAAACATAGCCAAAGTTGAGGGACTGTGGAAGATACAGCTCAAGAGCACATTGAAAGCCACAACATGTCCATCTGATATAACTGGATGTAAGGCAGCGGCAACGCCAACATGCCCCTTCCTCTCCTTGCTCTTGAATCAGGGTGGACCAAATGCGGGCCTTCAGATATTCTGGGACTCCAACTCCCAACATTCTTTACCACTGGCTCTTTTTGTCTAAGGCCAATGGGAGCTGTAGTACAACAACTTCCACAGGGCTGCATTTTGCCCGCCCCTGTCTTACATGCAGTACACATTAGCAATCCATACTTTGTGGTAATTTTCTTCCGTGTTCTTCATCCCATACAAGAATCCATTCACTGCTCTCTCCTTCCAATAAAGCTCTGCAATGAACAAAACAAAGTTTTATTAGGAAAAAAAACAAATAAAATATAGAAGTTAGCATTTCCCTCACTTTTCTATTCCAGTCAGAAGACCAAAACACTGCAAACTCATATTTAATTTCATTCTCTCCTCCCCTACAACACAGATTTTCCACCTTCTTTCCCTTTTCAGAGGTTAGTGTCATATTTGTGCCAATGTTAACACAAACCTCGGCAAAATTTAATCAAAGAGAAGTTGATTCTCTTTGGTTAGAGAAGTTGCAAACCAACTTCTCTAACCATGGTTTGAAACTCAAATTTTAAAAAATAACTAGTGTTAGATCCTCAGGAATGTTCCATCTGCACCGGTTAACTTTCTAATCCTTTGAGAATCATAAACTACAAATGTTACATTTCTATATGTATTAGGAAAAAAACACCTTGAATTTTAATTGTACTGGCACTGAATTTCACTTCTTTCTTTTTAGCACCTGATACCTCTGTTTGAGAGCAGGTGGGAATTGGAATTTTAACAAACTGTGAAGTAATGGAAATCTCATTTTAAAAAATTAAAATAATGTATAACATTCAATATTTACGATAAAAGCAGCATTGCTACAATGTCATTATCAAGATGTCACTGGTGTGGTTTCAGAAAAGTATTCTCTCACTTGTTAATACCACAGAAATTCACACTACGGAGCAAGAGTAATCTAACCTTACACCATTTTCCAAGTGCCCTGGAAATGAAAAGATGCTGCCCCAGAGCGACTGTATCATTCTCCCACAAACTAAAACCAAAAACTGCAGCTATCTGGAAATCCTCCAACAGCTGATTTCAAAAACACAGCATTCATTAAAGACAGGAAGTCATTCCAGCTATTGCATTTCTAACACTGTGCTGAAACCACACGTTCAGCTTCACCCAACAAATGTTTTGAAAAGATACTACAAGATGGCTGCTTAAGATCTGTAAGTGGTCCATCCGGAAGGGTGTGATAAGAACAGCTCTCTCACTCCTGGAAAGCAATTTGAAATTCTGAGACATGTGCCCTTTCAAAAAGCAAATGAAAACAAACACACAGTGAAACAACATCAACTGCCTTCCCATGAAATCCGACTGTTTTGCTTCTAGGTTACAGAAACGGGGATTTTATAGACACAGCGTTTCATTAACTTACACTCAATAAGTGGCTGCAAAAAAATGAGGTGGTTAGTAAGTGCAGTGGAGAGAGAAAGCATTTATTTCTTCAGAAAGCTGAACAGATAAAGATCATGTGAAATATTCTGTCCACTGAGAAATAAGGAGAAATATAAAGAGAATATTTTATAAACTGCAATCTGCTAAAATGAATGTCTTAGTTGAAAACATTCCTTGATGATGCTTGGTTTTTGCGAAGTAGAAAGCAAATGAGCGAATAAATACATTTAAATCGTGACGCAGTTGCATGTCTTTATTTACTTGTAAGGAACACTTTTGAAAAATAAATTTAATGAAGGACATAGGAAAACAAACCCTTCAGGATCCAGCTGTCAAATCCAGATACAAAAGACTGTCACATAGGATATGGAGCAGATTTGTCATCATCCTCTATAGCTCCACAGGACTCAAAACAATGGGTGGAAATGGTAAGGAAGATTATTCTGACTACATTCCCCAATCACAAGAGCTGTTTCAGACAAAGAAGCTGCCCTGGCAGACAGGGGAGATGATGGAAAATGAAGATCTCGGCTTTCCTCAATATATTTAAGGACCAACAAGAAGCTCTTCCATCAGGCATGGCCGTAGTTTTTATCCTGATTGCTCTGAGATGCCCTCCAGGACTCTATTTTTATTCAAAAGACCCACAGTGTGAAATAGTCACGATGACACTTAAAACCATCCTGTTCAGGATTCCGTTTCAATCCAGCTGGGGACGGGAGTGTTAAACTCTCTCAGATTACTAAAAACTACGCTTGGTAGGGAAACATTCAACAATTCAAGATGAAAAGAATTGTTATCTCGCCCCACATGCTTTGCTTTGTTCCGCTCCCCTCTGGGATATTCCCCCACCAAGACTCTTCCCAAATTAGGATTCGGCCAAAAAATTCCCCATTCCGATCACACAATTGGCTTCAACACCCTTAGCACTCATGCCCTCTTTCCTCAGAAGAGACTGGGAACGCTTGTTCTGTCATGTTTGCATGGTGCCCTTGGTTTCCTCCAATTCCTCAAAAGAAGGCAGGCCAATTTATTCTGGCTTAAAAACTAAAAGGAGCCGGGAGCTTCTCATTATGACTCCATCTTCACATTGACTTTTAAAGCTTCTTTTATCCTCCTATCCCAATAACATCAATAATTAAAACTACAGTGGTGCCCCACTTGACGATGATAACCCGTTCCAGCGAAATCGCTGTAGAGTGAAATCGTTAAGCGAAAATAAAAAACCCATTAGAATGCATTAAAAACCGGTTAATGCGTTCTAATGGGGGAAATACTTCATTGTCCAGCAAAGATCCTCCATAGGGCAGCCATTTTCCAGTGCCTGTAAAGTGAGGAATCCGTCCTAAACACGGGGGGGACCCATTTTGCACAGTGGGAGGCCATTTTGCGACCAGCCGATCAGCTGTTTTAAAATTGTTGTAATGCGAAGAATCGGTTCCCGAAGCAGGGAACCGATCATCGTTAAGCGAAATTCCCCCATTGAATCACCATTTTGCAATCGCAATAGCGATCGCAAAAAACTCATCCTAAAGCGGATTCATCGTCAAGCAGGGTAATCGTCAAGCGGGGCACCACTGTATTGTAAAAAAATATAAACCCAAAGAAAGTCTTGTCAATTGACTCTGTTATCATTTCAGTTCCTTAAAACCTTCAGAGATTTCCCCCCAAAATACTAAAAAAATCTCCCTACAGCAGTTTTCAGTCATCTACCATGATTTTTCCTCCTTTGAAACCAACATCTGCTTAAGATCTTTCTTCCACTTAATTTTTTTTAATTTTTGAAGTTTTTAAGAGAGAAAGCCCGTAATTCTCCCAAAATGGTGCAACATCAAAGCAAAGTTTCCACCAGGTATGTAGACCATCCAGAGCAGATTACCCCATCTACTCTATTTTTCTTTCTACGAGTCCATGAAAGGGTTAAATAGAAAGCAGGAATGTGAGAAGTTTGACTATGGATTTTTGGCTGCTGATAAGACAACAGTTTGCTTAGTTGCTAGAGCAACGGATGAAGTCACTAAAAATAATTTCCAAGCAATGCGCTGTGCAGAGAAAAGGGACAGCATTGCACGCCACAGAATGGACCCCAAAGCATGACGGCTAAAAACAAGCTGTGCATTAAAAGAAAGAAAAAGCCCCCCCCTAAAAAAATTATTTCAGATTTTTTTAAAGGACGGCAAAAAAGTACAGCACAGCAATGCATTGTTTCAATATAATCTACAGCTGGGCAAGTTTACAAAGCTATTTTTTTGCGACTAATTAGACACGGTTCTGCCAAGGGAGCCAGCTGTTTTTAAAACATGTTTTTGAAGCCATTTATTTGATTACGAGGAGATGTTTGGGAAATCCTGAAATTACGGCAAAGTTTACCCATGGCCTGATGATTCAGGTAACAAATTCCTCTCCATGACCAACCAAGATCTTTGTAAAATGATGGCCAATCAAGACACAACATTTTGGACCAAAAGCCAATAGGAATGTGCTTTGTAAGGAAAATACAGAAGCTGTACTGCTGGAGAGGGTGCTGTGCCTTTCTATAGTCCTCAATAAAATATTCGAGAAAGGGGGGGAAAAAAACTCCAGCATGCTAGCTGAGGAAAACTGAAGGCGGAAGAGCCAACACTAGTTTTCCATCAGTTCTGGAGATTGTTTTACAAGCCATGTTTCCCCAGCCCTTGTTGTTATGAAGCCATCAAGGCAGAAGTTCATTCTTCCAGAGATGGCTTCAGTCAGACTGAATTGATTTAGCTTGCTATTGAGGTCTTTTTGAAACCATCCACTAGGAAATTGCTTTGAGTTTCTTTTTTTTCTTTCTTCTTTCTAAAATCTATTCATTGTTCAAACAATCACATACGACAAAGGAGCTAAAGTAAACTTTTAAGAAACACAGAAGAATGAAAACAGCTTCTGGCTCCCAAGCTTTTATAGAAAGATGGTTCCTGAATAAATTCCTCCTCCTCCTATTCCGCCTCTTCTTCTCTTCTCTTCTTTGGTAGGACATGCAAAGGTTTGATTTGTGGCCTCCAGAGAACCAGAAGCTCTGCCCTAAAGATTTTTTATTTTCAACCGCCTTCACTGAAATGCTGATGGATGGGAGCAGACAGAGATGGCCAAAGGAGAAAATGGCAAGCTATCAGTTACCACTCGGGAAAATTTATGAGCAAGGCTGACATCCTAACTAGATGATAAACTTAGGGATTGACTACATTGCAATATACTCATTACAGAAGGCCAAAAACAAAACAAAACAAAACAAAAAACCCTCCACACACAATCAAGTTAGGCCAAAGTTGACTGGCAAAACCAACTCTGATTAGAAACCTCATTAAAAGTCCTTGCCACTTTTATAAAAGTTCAAATTAAAGACAGACCTGCTTTTTGTTTGTTTATTTAATAGGACACCTTTCTCCCAATAAGGGGAGTGATAAGGGAGCACAATTTATTATCCTATCAAGCACCTCTCTCTCTCTCTTGTCCAATAATTACATCCAGGTCAATCTGGATTAGAACCTGACATCATCATAGTAATCTGTTATTTCCAATCAATGAAGCTTCTTTGTTTTGTTTTTTTTGCAGATCAAAATATCTGGCAATTGTTTCAGCGGTGCAATCTTTCATATCGCACAAGTTTGTTCCACGTGTAATTGTAGACATTCCATTCAACTAATGACATAATCTATTACTTTACAAACAAGCACATTTCAGTCAAGCAATTTCATCAAGAGGCTTCCTTATTGTAAGAGCCCAAAACAAAAGAAAAATACAGAAGAGAAAAATCGTTATGGGACCTTAAAGGCTATACACTATATTTTAATGTGAGCTTTCATGGACAAGTCTACTTCCTCAGACATAAGAGTGGGATTACATGGCAAATATTTATACATTTATACATGGCCCAAAACTGAGATTATTGGAGACAACAGTCCCATTCAATTATTATCCTACCTGGTATAAAAGACAATCTCATTATATTCCTTCATTATGCTGCTTACAGAAGCAGCAATGAGTCTGAAGAAGACAGAATCCTGCTTGTGCGCTTATTCCATGTGCAAGGAAGAACTGTGATAAATCTAGGTTCTTGCTCCTTTTTTTTACCCAGCGGCCATTTTGAAACCACCGATCAGCTGTGCGAAAATCGTTGTTTTATTTATTATTTATTTATTTATTTATTTATTTATTGGACTTATATACCGCCCCATAGCGCTACAAGCACTCTCCGGGCGGTTTACAATTTTTAATTATACAGGCTACACATTGCCCCCCCAGCAAGCTGGGTACTCATTTTACCGACCTCGGAAGGATGGAAGGCTGAGTCAACCTTGAGCCGGCTACCTGGGATTTGAACCCCAGGTCGTGAGCACAGTTTTAGCTGCAGTACAGCGTTTTAACCACTGCGCCACGAGGCGATGATCGGTTAGCAAAGCAGGGAACCGATCATTGTAAAGTGAAAAAAACCCATAGGAAACATCATTTTGCGATCGCTTTTGCGATCGCAAAAACTTTGTCGTGATGTGATTTCATCGTAAAATGAAGCGCTCGTCTTGCGAGGCACCACTGTATTTCAAAAAAGAAAGTGAAAACAGAGGCACGAATGATAGAAAGAAACTGAAGGTTAGTGGAAGAATGGAAAAATGTGTCCTCCTCAGAAGTTGCCAAGATAAAGGTTCCCCTTGACATTTAGTTCAGTTATGTCCGACTCTGGGGGACGGTGCTCATCCCCGTTTCCAAGCCGTAGAGCCAGTGTTTGTCCGAAGACAGTTTCCGTGGTCACGTGGCCAGCAGAACTAGACAAGGAACGCTGTTACTGTCCCACCGTGGTGGTACCTATTTATCTACTTGCATTTTTACATGCTTTCGAACTGCTAGGTTGGCAAGAGCAGGGGCAAGCGACAGGAGCTCCCTCCGTCGCATGGATTCGATCTTACGACGGCTGGTCTTCCAACCGTGCAGCACAGAGGCTTCTGCGCTCCTGGTGGGCTATTCCACATGGAATATACAGCCCAGTTCCCAAGCACCAGAAAGCAATCAAGGGGCAGGCCTGAAGATCCCAGAAGGCTTTAAAAGGCAGCCAACACAAAAGGGCATTGAGACGATCTCATCTGGAAGGAACCAGTGCAGGAATAACAGACACCAGGTCCAACTTTTCTAGCAAAGGAAAAGGTTAACCATGGGATTTCCCCGCTGCCGCCACATACAGTATGCATCCAGAGAAAATGACAGGTCCAGGAATATCCTCTAAGAGAGCACCTGCTGTGTCAGGGGATTCCAACCACGCCCGAGTCCAACCCACACCCAGATTCCCGGACACTCGGCTCAACAGCAATTCCATTTTACCTGGATTAAGTTTCTGTTTGTCCATTTCCCCCATGGCTTCCTGAGCTGATCTCAAGTCATCTCTAACTTAAGAAAGTGAAGCCATGCATACAGACAAACAAACACACCAATATGTCCGGCCATGCCTTAACTTGTTGTGGTTGTTGATTCCCTCTCAACAAGAGTGGCAGGGACAACCACAGGGAGTCTGGGGAGAATTCTTGCCCCATTTCTTACCCTTTTGGGCTCTCTGCAGACCCTTGTTTGTTTCCACTATTTTCAAGAGGAAGATTCCCCCCCCCCCATAGGCTTCCAGAGGTGTTATTCTCAATTTGGGGAGGGGGGAAGGGGAGAGAAGACTTGGGGCTAGGAAGTACTGTGACAAGCCTCAGACAATCCACATCATTTCTGTCCCTCACTTAGATACTTCTCCTAGGCAATAACCCCCCAGATGTGCACCTAGTTTCCACTTCATGTAATCCTGGGTGGAAATTTAGGCCAATGTCAAGTCCCTCATTAGTGCAACAGTTGTTGCTTTCGTGATCCTTACCTGTAAGTGGCAATTTCAAGGCTGAGACCGGCTTTCACCTGCAGGAGCTCGTGGTAGTCTTTTAGGTATTCAGCGATGGATGCAGTTAAGAAATGCTTTTCTTCTTCAAGGGAGTCAATTATCATCTAAGGCAACAGGGGAAAAGAAGGTTGTATTGTATGTAAAATACTGTAAGGATCTCCAGTGATATTCAGTCCTTTGCAGATTATCCCCACCGCAGGCGATCAGCCTAAACGGGGGGGGGGGGGGGTAAATGCACGGATGGGGCACAGGACACAGCATCCCCCACTTCTCCAGTCCTTGGCCTTTCTAGCAAGGTCGGCCCATGACATTTTGCCACCTGAGACAAATGGCACTCCCCGCTCACTATCAAGATATCTAACACCCAAAGCCCGGCCGACTTAGCCTGGCATATGAGGTAGGAAATTACACAGCACCTGTCATTTCCAGACCAGTGGAAGAGTCAAGGAAAGGAGCATTAAATGGAGGTGGACATAAGTCAGAAGCAACTTAATGGCCCACAATAACAAAAAACACACTCAGCTGCTGCTTGTGTTGCCCGACACGCCCCGACTCAGAGGCATATGTATAGCCTTAGATACTTTGTGTTACGAGAGGTCCATTGTGACTAGCAATCCTTTGATAGTTTGGAAATGTCTAAGGACTTTTTGAGTTATCAGTGCATGGGGAAAGCACCTAGAACCAGTAGATCTGGCAACCTGCAGATCGGCCTGCTATTTGCTTATAAGAAAGCCTTGCCTAGTAAGTTAAAGTAGATGGTAGAAAAATATTATGAAAAGACAAAAAAAAAAACCACATTGTTCTGACTTGGCTTTAACAACTTGTTGTTGTTTAGTCGTGTCTGACTCTATCTATAAGTTAAAGCAGATGGTAGAAAAATATTATGAAAGGACAAAAAACACACATTGTTCTGACTTGGCTTTAACAACTGCCAGGCTTTGTTGTTGTTGTTTAGTCGTTAAGTCGTGTCTGACTCTTCGTGAACCCAACTAACTGCCAGGCTAATAGATGTCAAAGAGGCACTCAACCCAACATCCTTTCTTCCTGGCCCACCCCAAATATTTTAGGGTTCAAAGATATACAGTCCAGAGCCAATCTCTAAATTACTCTCTCCTCAACATACAGGGAATGTAAACTAACGGTATTAACTACCACTGCTCTCACATGCCACTCTGTCTCTACCGCCCATGTGCATGTGAATTCTCTCCTTCTCTGCTGCCTCGTATCTATGCACTCCCCAATACAACTGAGTTACCCCTTGGTGCCTGACCAATCTTTTAATCTTAAAAGGGCAAATGGAATAACTTTACCAAAGATTTGTTTGCCTTAACCAGTGGTTCCCAGCCTTGGGTAGCTCAAGTGTTCTTGGCCTGCAACCCCCGGAAAACCCAGCCAGCACAGCTGCTGCTGAAGGCTTCTGGGAATTGCTGTCCAAGAACATCTGGGTGACCCAAGGCTGACTTTATCAATTTTTAAGCCTTACACCTGTATATCTACCCTGTTTCCCCTAAAATAAGACCTAACCTAAAAATAAGCCCTAGTATGATTTTTCAGGATGGTGGTTATAAGTTTTTCAGGCTCTTTGGCCATACTCTGAAGGTTGTTTTTCCTAACATTTCGCCAGTCTCTTGATGCCAGCCACAGAGACTGGCGAAACGTTAGGAAGAACAACCTTCAGAATACGGCCAAAGAGCCCGAAAAACCCTCAACAACCATTAGATCCTGGCCGTGAAAGCCTTTGAGAATACATTTTTCAGGATGCTCGTAATACAAGCCCTACGCACAAAATGAGCCCTAGTTAAGTGAAACCCCGCCCTCCACCATTGTGCAGCAACCCAAAGAAGATGTATTTGAATAAATGTAGATGGTTGTACATGAATAAAATAAAACATCCCCTGAAAATAAACCCTAATGCATTTTGGAGCAAAATTTTATATAAGACCCTGTCTTATTTTTGGGGAAACACAGCAAACCATGGTTGACTGCAAACTAGAATATGAAACTATCATTGGATGTAGTTTTTGAAACCATCATTTGTGCAAACTATGGTTAACTTTACATCTGCACTGAAAGAATGATGTGTAAAAACGTGGTATTTGTGCCTCTCCAGCCTCCACTTTCCAACTACAGATCCTAAGGGATTTAGAAGAGGGCTTTAGTCAATTAAATCATCGTTCTGTTGTTGTATTTGAAAATATGACAGTCTGGTTCTATAACAATCTGCACCTTCAGCAGACTCTTCCCATGGAAGCGGCGTTCCAGCGGCGTTCTGAAAATCCAGGGGAAGACATCCTGCCCCTTCCCAGTAAACCAGTCCTCCTAATCTCTAACGGCTTGTGCTTACAATGCAGCCATTACCAAGATGGGCACAGATAACAGAAACCTACCAGTCTGTGAATAAAAGGACTGGCTAGAACAAAAGAGATGTTGCCTGCAGGAAACAAAAGGGGAAGACTGGCAGGGTGGATCAATGGACTTCAGTCACTTTCAGTTTATGACCAGAACACAAAGAACAGCTGATTCAAAGACATTTTGCCCCCACGGCAGGTTGGGAGGGGGCTCACTTGAACACTGCAGAACATGCATCTAGAGATGGGCATGAACCACCACTTCGGTCACTTTGTTCCTCAGCTGAACAAGTGTTCGGCCGTCCTCAGCTCCTCCAGCAGGAGGAGGCAATGCCCTGGCTTCTCTGCCCTGCCTCCTCTGGGCACAGCCCCTGAGTGGGCACCTTGCCAGAGGTGGCAAGGCTGAGAACCACTGAATGCCTGTTTGGCCGAGAAACGAAATGTCACGAACTGTCAAACTGGCAGTTCCTGCCCATCTCTAGCTACAATACATTCAGCATCTCTGTAGGGGCACAGACTGCCGTGTGATTCTGCTCATGGTATAGCAAGTGGTACTTGAGAGTCAGTGTGCTGGAGTCTGGCTTTGATCCTGACTAAGTCACGAAACTTGCTAGATAACCTTGGGCCTGTCTTTTCAGTTTTGGTTTCCTTTCATGATAGAGTCACACTCTATCCACTTGAACTACCACACAGTGTTGTTGTAAGCAGGCCAGCCATGCGTGCTGTGTTGAGCTCAATGGAGGAAATGTACAGTATAAATGAAAAGAATGTCCAAAAGAGAGAAAACAACAAAACCAACATAAAGAAAAATTTACGGCTGAAGCTATATACATAAAGCAAGGCAATTGCCTTTTAAAATGTGTGAATGTAGATGCCAAAGTTGGGGAAATGTCCATTAATGAACAATATACAGTAAGAGAAAAATATTTCAGACCCATTCTGTAAGCAAACAAAGCAAACAGTCAGCAGCAACATAACATCTTAGACTCAGCATACAAAGCAGACCAGCTACTCCCTAATCTAGGTGGATCTCTAAGGAAACCACACCCACTAATTACCTTTTAAACCTGTCTCTTAAAGAGACAGTTCCTACATAGAACAAGATGCTAGTCAGAAATCTGTCCCCATGGGGTGTTGGGTTGCTGTTTGGTTTTTGCCTCACTAAACACATTGCAGAACCAGAGGTTCTTAATGCACCAGTTCACACCTTCGTCTGACCCTCTGCGCATATAGAGAAATCCAATGATGGGCGTGTATGTACCAACCAGAGCAACCCTCTGAGGTGCCACACCCATAGGAAAGAAGCTCCACAACTGTTACTGTGTGGAAAGTTCTACATCCATAGCATCAAACCTCCATCACCACCACATAAGTGTTTCTGCTCAATAGTGGGCATGTCCTTACTGCCATCTTGCCCCTTTCAGGCCACAGAACCTGCACACTTTGACAAGCTGCCATTCCATCCTGCTCAGGGAGAACCTCGTTGTCTACGGCTGCCATTTCCAGCATTCACAACTGCCACCCCAAAACCAGCACAGCCCTCATTCTCTTTGAGCCGCCTTGAGTCCCTTCATCGGGTGAAAGGCAGCCTACAAATGAGATAAGATAAAACAAATGTCTTGCTCTGCAGTGTGCCAGGGCAGGTTTCCGACTGGTTTATGCTATCCTACCGTTGCCCACTACTTAGATGCCAAATACTGTAACTCTACTGCACTGCTTAGGTATTTCCACAGTCATTAAGAGTGTATGTGGGGGTGAAATTTCCTAGACCTGGCTTCACCGATTCACCCACCTACTTCTGTTGAACCCCAGGTTCGTCCGCCATTTTCTTTCTCCATGGCCAAGAGATACTATAGCTTAAAATGTCCTTTCATTTAGTGTCTGTTCCTGCTCTTTCCCCTCCCGAAATGTTCACTGGAGTCAGAACCACATGGCGAGCTGCCCTTAAGTGAAATCTAGACCTGGCTGGGCTATTCTAAGAGCTTTTCAGGGAGGGGTGGATGGAGCGAACATAAGCAGCGCTTGGCTGGTCTTATTTTTCAGTCCTGAAGAGGGAACGTCCTGTCCTGTCCTTAAGCAGTGATCGGCTTCAAACCCTTCAATCCCTTTTGGTTTTCCTTCACTGGAAAAAAAGAAGAGGAAATCGGGAAACACCGTTTCCTGCCTGGACTGGATTCCTCCGCCCTATCTTGAAAATGCGCATCTAGGACTGAAGAACGGGAGGGAAGAGGAGCAGCAGGTGCATCCACCCACAAGACCTGGGAAACACCCAGAAAAACAGTGGTTCCTTTTATTGAAGCAAGGGAGGGTGGGTGGGTTTTTTGCAAATTGACAACTTCTGCCCATGACCCCATAAAAATGGCCTGGGAGCCTCTGGAGCCACGTCAGTGCTCAGATTATGGACCTGATCCGCTCCTTCTTAAAACAAGGAGCTCTGTGTCAGAGTAAAAGCGGCCAAGTGCTGCCACGCCCTAAAGAGTAGCAAATGCTATTAAGCATAAACTGTCACAGAGGCGAAGACATGGGCTACCGCTTATAAAAAACTTCGTGCCCAGTACAATGGCTCTCTTTAAGGCACCACCTGACTCTTGGCCTGTTTTGATTTTCACTGACAAGCCAGGTTGTGTCAGTGAAAATCCACATTACAGTTGCATGGTTAGAAAAGCGGCAATAATATCAATGCATGTTGACACCTTCTGGCTGCAACCCCCTTTGTGGTTATGCGCCATCAAGCCGTCTCCCTCGGCGACCCTCGGAATGAGTGAGCTCCAGGATGGGGTGAGATAGATGATGTGGTTTGGACATTTTAAAGCCCCAGATGATCCCTGAACTGATTATAGGACAGTCTCCTGTTCATTCCCATCCAACAGGAGCTCTGTCAAGGAGAAAAAAAAAGTTGGCAACTGCACAAGGAGTAGATGGGACACCATAAAGGACCACCTCTTATTTCAAGGTAAATGCGGCCCTGCGGGTAGAACTCGGAGGGCAGCCCGCAAAAAAGGTCTAGGGATTTTGTGGCTTTCATCCAGGTGGAATAGACAAGAAATTCCCCCTCCTCAATTCCCCCTCCTCTTCTAGAGTGGTAGGCAACTTTTAGCCTCCCAAGCGTTGCTCTGCCACCTCCCCTCAGGTTGATGGTGCAGGATGATGGGACCGGCGGTCCTTGACCCTCCTCTCTAGACCGCAGTGACCTCGCCCCCTTCCCTTCTCACCGGGCCACCCGAGGGACCCCCCCCAAACTTTCATCTTATCCCAGCACCAAACGGCTTCCCAGAACCCGCCAAACGCTCCTGAACTGCGGCACGAACGTCGGGGGAGCCCTCGCTTTGCCTGCCTGCTCCCGGCCCCCGGGCGGGGCGGTCCTTGACCCTCCTCTCTAGACCGCAGTGACCTCGCCCCCTTCCCTTCTCACCGGGCCACCCGAGGGACCCCCCCCAAACTTTCATCTTATCCCAGCACCAAACGGCTTCCCAGAACCCGCCAAACGCTCCTGAACTGCGGCACGAACGTCGGGGGAGCCCTCGCTTTGCCTGCCTGCTCCCGGCCCCCGGGCGGGGCGGC